TCACAATAAAAAAAATTAATAATAATAATAAAATAAAATAAACTCTATTATACTAATTTTTGGGTGTTTCTTAGCAAATTTAGATTTTTGATGTGTTCTTTATTAATTAAGCTAGACTACTGTTTGACACAGATGACTTTGAGGAAACCAGTTTTTTTTTAGGTCAAAGTTTAAGGTTCAAAGATTATCTCTGGATGATAGTTTGAGTGGGTCATTTTCAACCTGCATGGCTCCAGAAATTTGGATCATATAAGAATTAAAAAGTCTGCTCCTCAATTGTAATATAAACATAAAGAGGGCCATTTATTCAACACCAATCCTGTGTTAAGCACTGTGCTGTTTTTCATTCCCCCACCTAAAATTTTTATTCACAGTATTTCTGTCACTGAGATAATTTTTCAACAACTTTCTTCACCATTTCCCTCTGTTCTGCTTAAAGTGCCACCTACATAAAATAATTCCTTTTTTGGTTTCATGTCTAATCATTTCAATTATTCTCATTCCCTTTTGCGAAAACTTATTCATGTAGGTGTTTCAAAACATACATATGCTGTTATATTTTTATGTGTCCCTGATGAAATTACAAAAGACTGTACTTCATATTTGGTGAGTAAATTTACATGAATCATGATGTTATGGACTAGAAATAACAATGATTTCCAACATAAATGAACTTGACCTTAATACTTACACTTGTGTTCATGATTGAGTTAGAAGTTACCTAGGTTTAAATTATCAGTTAGAATGCAATTCCATTAAGATGCAAGTTCAGTTAGAATGCAGTTCTAACTCTTGTAAATTTATGATTTTACAAATCAACATGTTATTCAAATTATTCCTAATAAGATTTAATGGATCCTGGCATTATTCATCAATGGTAGTTAATATTACAAAAAGAGAGACAATCAGACACTATTTACCTTCTGATAGGAAAATACATTATCACGATGAAGTAGTCTTGCCAAAAATACCAAATATGAATCTGAATAAGTCTCTAGATTCCAAATAGCAATTTTAGGATTACAGAGGACAGAGGAATATATTAAACTACCACATGGCAATGCAATTAGCAAAACCTAACCTTGCAAAATTCTTTTCTTCAATAAATAGATTGCAGAAGAGAAAAAAGAAAGCAAGAGATGGAGGGAGAAGTTATAGATGAAAATAGACCTGAATTTAGATTGGATTAGCGCTGGTAGCATAGTGCCTAAGGCACTTGACTGCTCACCAGAAGGCTGGCGGTTCAAGCCCACCAGCCACTCCTCGGAAGGAAGGTTGGGCAATCCTACTTCC